TTATATATTGCTGTGACCCACTTTTGGGTCGTGACCCACTGGTTGAGAAACAGTGATCTAATCCACCCCCCTGCTCAAAGCAGGACCATTCCCAACTAGATCATCCCAAACAAGGCTTTGTCTAGTGAGGTCTTCAAAACCTCCAAAGATGGAGAGTCCACAACCTCTCTGGGGAACCTCTTCCATTGTTTTACTACCCTCCTAGTGAGAAAATTCTTCCTAATATCTAACCTAAATTTCCCTTCCTGCAACTTGAGACCGTTGCTCCTTGGTCTGTCACCTGCCACCACTGAGAACAGACTAGCTCCATCTTCTTTCGTACCCCGCTTTAAGTAGTTGAAGGCTACTATTAAATCCTCTCTTGGTCTCCTCTAGACTAAATAAACCCAGTTCCCTCAGCCTCTCTGCATAAGTCACTTCCCCCAACTCTCCTCACCATTTTTGTTGCCCGTGTTGGACTCTCTAACCTGTCCACATCCTTTTTGTAGTGGGGGGCCCAAAACTGGACACAGTACTCCATATGTGGCCTCACCAGTGCTGAATAGAGGGGAATAATCACTTCCCTCAATCTGCTGGCAACACTTCTGCCAGTGCAGCCCAGTATGCCATTACCCTTGGCAACAAGGGCATGCTGCTGACTTATGTTCAGCTTATTGTCCATTGTAACTCCCAGGTCCTTTTCTGCTGAGATGCTGCTTAGTTAGTCAGCCCCCACCCTCTATTTGTGCGTGGTATTGCTCCGTAATAAGTGCAGGACTTTGCACTTGTCCTTGTTGAACCTCGTGAGATTTTGTTTGGCCCAATCCTCCAATTTGTCTAGGTCACTCTGAATCCTAGCCCCACCCTCCAGCATATCTACTTCTCTCCCCAGCTTGGTAGCATCTGCAAACTTGCTGAGGGTATAATCCATTCCATCTTCCAGATTATTAATGAAAATATTGAACAAAACTAGCCCCAGGACTGACCCCCTGAGGCATTTTACTTGATACTGGCTGCCGGGTAGACATGGAGCCATTGATTGCTACCTACTAAGTCTGACAATCCAGCCACCTTTCTGGCCACCTTATAGTCCATTCAGCCAACCTGTACTTCTTCAGCTGGCTTTCAAGAATGCTGTGGGGGACAGTGTCAAAAGCCTTGCTAAAGTTAAGGTATATTGTATCAACTGCTTTCCCCACATCCACAGAGCCAGTCATCTTGTCATAGAAGGCAGTCAGGTTGGTCAGGCATGACTTGCCCTTGGTGAATCCATGCTGACTGTTCCCAATTACCTCCTTCTCCTCCAAGTGTTTAGAAGTGTATTCCTTGAGGATCGGCTTAGTGACTTTTCTGGGGCTGAGGTGAGGCTGACGGTTTGTAGTTCCCTGGATCCTCCTTTTTCCCTTTCTTAAATATGGGTACTATGTTTGCCCTTTCCCAACCATCACGCTGCTTCATGCCTCCACTGCTCTGTGCCTCCACACTATTCCATGTCTCTGCACTAGGTCCTATATTATGCTTCTCCATGCCAGTCTATGCTGTTGTTCTGTGCCACTCCATGCCTCTGTGCCTCTGAACTGCTTTGTGCCTCTGCATTGGGTCCTGTGCTGCTCCATGTCCCTGTGTTGCTCTGTGCTTCTGTTCTGTTCTCCATGCTACTTATGCCTCATCGCTGGGTCCCATGCTGCTCTGTGCCACTGCTCCATGCCTGCACCACTCTGTGCCTTCACATCAGGTCCCACACTACTCTGTGGCACTCTGCTTTGTGTCTCCACACAACTCCATGCCTCTGCACCAGGTTCTACACCGCTATGTGCTTTGCTGAATGGATTTTTGCCCCCTCTTCTGACTGAAGGTATTGCATTTTTGCCTAATACTCTCTTCTGTGATTAGGATTTATTTTCCCCATGGTGAATGGGGAAAATAACCTTGTCTTGGAATCAAGTAAATATGATGTATTTTCTTTAGGCATATCTTTCTGAACAGACATATGAATTGGGAAAGATATTCAAAAAACACAAACCATGTCCAAGATATTCAAAGGTGTAGGAGATCATTGGGATCATAGAAAAGACTTTCTATTCACACTGAAAGTTTTCAGGGCTTTGTGTGGCCCTTTACATCCCTTATGAAAGTAAAAATGGTTCCATATTTTAAAAAATGTCACTTGGGATTCAATACCTGTCTCTGCAATAGTTTTTCTGTGACGTTTTGGACATATTGTTTATTCTCTCTGTGCCCTTTTTGTACAGTAGGAACAACAAAGTAGTACATCCTTCTTTCTCTTTCAAAATAGCAGAAGAGATTGTAACATAGAAAATATTAAGGGCAAAGACTCAGCCCTCAATATTTTGTGTTATGTATCTTAGAAGAAAGATCCCAGTTTCTGCTGTGGTAAAGTAAAACATGGAAACATTTTGAGAAAAAAAAGAAATGTTAAACTTCCAGGTGTTAGGCTTACTAACTACTATATTTATACTGGTAAGGGCTTCATAGAAATTCACCATAAGGAAATATTTTTTTTTCTTTTGCTTGAGGCTTTAGTCCCAAAAATGAAATGGTAGAAGTGACAGTTTAAAAAATATGGTCAGAAGCAGTCTTTAACATATGAGATTGCAGATAACAATAGTATGACACATTGTATAGCATCAAAAGCATTCTTTTCATATGGCATAGGAGTATTTTATAAAAGAAACATTATGGGTTGATTACAGTGGATAATGTAGATCAAAACAGTACGGGTGATGTCCAAACATATACCTTTTCCCCAAAAACTTGAAAAAAATAATTTACTTTTCTGAGTCCCTTGTCTTGTGTGGTAGGCTCCTTATAGCATTATGACTTCTTTCTGGGCTTAATACTGTACTGACTTCAGCAGTGATAGATGATTCCTGATTATGTTCTGTGAAGTCTGTGTATCTACAGGAGTAGTTAGTAGCTGAGGACTAATAAGAACATGAGGTGCCATAGTGGGTCAGACCAGTGGTCCATCTAGCCCAGTATCCTGTTTATTGCAAGTGGCAAGTAGTAGATGCCTTAGAACAGTGGCGTCAAACTCATTTGGCTCATGTGGGCCAGTTCTGGACTGTGAGGCTCCTTGCTAGCCATTTGCCTTCTTCCAGTCACTTGGGACCTCACCTGACCTCCACTAGTTCTTCAAGATGATAACCAACAGTTCTGAAATGACCTCAGCCAATTCCTTCAGTACTCTAGAGTGCATCTCATCCAGCGCTACCAACTTAAACACATCCAGTTTCTCTAGGTAATCTCTAACCTGTTGTTTTACTACTATAGGTTGCTTATCCTCTCCTCTGTCTTTGCTGCCAATTGTGCTTGTTCTCTAGTAGCTGACTTTATTAGAGAAGACTGAAGTAAAAAAAAAGGAAAGTATTTCTAGCACACATCATGGCCCAAATAAAACACACCTTATTTTTGGAAGGCAGAATATAGTGGAAAATACTTTTCCAAAGGCACAGCTGACTGTGTGACATAGAGTAAGTCTAACTCTTGCAGATTAGTGAAGTGGATTTCCTTTCAGGAAGATTATGCCGACTCAATGGGTGTGTCTGCATGTCACCATATGGTGCCGTTGCTACAGTGCCGTGTTTTAGTACTTCAGGTTGGAAGTACTAAAGCATGGCCAGTAGCTCCCAGAGTCACTTCTAGAGCCCTTTTTGAAGTTAGGTGTTATATTAGCAACCTTCAAGTCCTCTGTCACATAGAGCATTTGAAATGACAGGTTACATATTATTGCCAGCATTTCTGCAGTTTCACATCTGAGTTCCTTTCAAACCCATGATGTTGATTAAATCAGCATTGATTTAAACTTTCCTAACCCCAGAGACTACCTTAAATCCCCACAATTATACATTATCATTACAAAAGGCATTTAAGTCTTTTAAATGGCTGCTTGCCCATTTAAGACAGGCAGCCATTTAAATTACGCAGACAATGCCAGGTATTGCACCTGCTAAATTGTGCAGGAACAGCTTGCTGTCAGCAGCATCTGCTTCATCAAGGTTTTCATTCAGGTTGTGCTGCATCTAATAGCAGCTTTGAAATTGGCAGGACTTTAATTTAGGGCTTCCGATAGCTTAAACTGTAGTTAAAATAAGCTACAAGGGTTAATTCATCTTTACAACTGAGGACTTCGGGCAATTTTCTTCTGATTGTCAACACAAGCCTGCTATAAGTTCCTCAGACAGTGTGATTTTTATTGTTTGTATTTATTCATGGACATCTAGTCATGGAACAGGACTCCATTATGCTAAGTCCTGTACAAGCATATTGAAAAGAGAGACAGTTGCTGCCCCAAAGAGGAAGACAGTGGAAATACGACAACAGTGACACAGTGTCAGTCAGCACAGTAGGCTTATCGATATGCGAACAACCTAACCATTGTCAAGATTTTATAGGTATCAGGGTAAAGAAGAATTTTAAATGGAGTTTTGAAGTTTGCTGAGATAACTTCGTGGATGTTTATAGGGAGTTTTTCCCAAGCATGAAGACTGCATGGGAGAAAGCAAACAACTGAAGATATCTGGATTCTGGTTTTAGATGTCGAGCTGATACTGGGATAGTGTAAGAAATGATACAGAATGGTGATATGCTATGAAGGGTCTTGAAAGTAAGGGAAGTAGCTTATGTTGGATGCAGTAGACATAATAGATGTGTTGTATTCAGCTGTGTGCACTTATGCCAGTGTATTAGGTTTGCTTTGTGCCTACAAATAAGCTAGCCATAATTAGCTAAATTGTTCTGTGGGAGCTGGAAAGAGTCATAGAAATCAATGCCAGCTAAGGTAAACTCAGTTTTAGTCTTTTAGCCTGTTAGATGCTACCTATTTTTGGTATATGCTTTCATCCCCTCTGATAGCAGTGATGGTTTTATTTAACTTAAGTTTTAAAAAATCTGCAACTCTTCCAAGCAATTCTGGAAGCTGAGATACAAATCTGTGCGTGGGCATGTATATATTTATATACATATTTATATTTATCTTCAAAAAAATTTTCTTTTTACAGTAAAGCCATTTCTTAATCAAGAAGAATATGAAAGAACAAAGGACATTGTTAAAAAGTTTGAACATGGAATTGGAAAAGACTTGCAGCAAAAATTACTGGAAAGGGCTAAACTAAGGAGGAACTGGGTATGTTTTGAATTATAATTTATAGGTGTGTTTTTTATCTGAGTCTTATACATCGTGATGCATCCAGTTATCTCAAGAATGAAACATCATCATTCCCTAAAACAAGCAAAGTCTGATTTTGTGACATGTTGGGCCTTCTCATGTAAATAAGTTTACTTACATACATAGGATTTTAAGACTGGGCCTGCACTTAGCATATGAAATCCAGAGCTAGTGTTTTCAAAATAGCCAAACACACTGAAAGAGGAGCATCACATTAAAATAAAGAGTATTTTGTTGAACCTGATTTTATTAATGGTTTGTTCAAGACTAAATGTTTTATTATTTACTTTATATATTGATACTAGATATAACAAAACTGCCATTAGGTAAATAAAGTTACAGCAAATTAGGAGAAGTATAAAATCTAGTTTGGTTATTTATGATATCTGATATTTTGTCATAAGGTATTGCAATCTAAAAAAAATCTTACATGTATTGTGAGATCATTGCAAATAGCAACTGTGCTCAGCACTGAAAAAGAGAAATAACACAGAGGAAATTTTTCAAAAGCACACAAGTGAGTTCATGGGCACTTAAATGCCTTTTATTACTCTTAGTGATTCTGAGGTTCTTAACTGTTTAATTCACTTTCAGAAGTGGAACTTAGATTTACAAGTCATTTAGGAACTTTTGAAAATCTTACCGAAGATCTGATTCCCAAAGAACTTAAAGTCTAATCTTTTCCTCTGCATGAAAACAGTAAAATACATATTAGCAGTGCTCTGAAGTGGTCTTGCAAAAGAGAGAGAGAGAAAAAGATGATAAGTAAATGTCAAACCGTCTTTGAAATTTGTAGAGCTTCATCAATCCCAACATGACTTTATTTAGATAATTTTAGAACAGGAATTTCTAAAAAATATTTATGGAGGATAGAGTACATCTCAACAAATTGTATTATGGATCATTTCCCTTCCATTTATAAGCACACAAACCACCTCTGCTCCCACTCACTACTCAGTAAACATCTTTATGGCAACTACAACAATTAACTATACAGAAACAAAATATTAAGAAAATATTTTATTGTAACAGCTGTTAATGTTGTTTAGCTGATGGAAATAAAGAGAGCTAGATACCTCACTAATATCAGCAATGACTTGTGGACTGCTAGCTTGACCTTCACAGTTAAAGAAGTACCTTTTCAAAGTAGTAGAACAATGAATCACTTGTGCATATCCAGTGATTAGTACAGAGCTATGCCTAAAGCATATTATGATGCTCATCACTACTCCTTTTCAGCTGGAGGACTGGTGGCTGAATGTGGCTTATCTTGAGCCTCGCCTACCAACACAACTATATTATAATTTTGGAGGGCCAGGCCCTTACCTTGAACACTACTGGACACCCAAAGAAGGGACGCAAATTGAAAGAGCATCCATGAATTTATGGTATACTTTGCAGTTCTGGGACCTATTAAGAACGTAAGACTTTCTTTACAAAAATGTAATTGTTCTAAATATCTTTATGATGTACTTTCAGAACTTATTCTTAGGCATATTCTCTTTATTGTAGGGAAAAATTGGCTGCACATAAATCTAGAAATTCACCTCTAGATATGAATCAATTCCGAATGCTGTTCTGTTCTTGCAAGATTCCAGGAATTACTAGAGATTCATTTTGCAATTATTTCAAGACTGGTAAGTAAAATACCATTTTTCTAGAATAGCACAGAAAAATGAATTTATGTTACAGGGCCAATGTGTGGCCATATAAACCATGAAACAAACACTTTAAAAAAAACCCCATTGCAGCTGAAAAGTTTTTTGAAGAGCTACTCTGCACAATTTATATACGGGTAGTCTGTGCCCTTTATAAAATCACTACTGAGATTAAGTCTCTTTTAATCTAGTGCTTATTCTCATAATTGGGTCAGATACAGGCTGTTAACTTGCAAACAGGGAGACCATTATAATTAACCATAGGGGCTGCAGGCCTAAGAACTCATGCTCCTTTGATACAGTGTGCTCCTTTGGTACATATATAACGTGTACCAGGAGCCAAAAGCACACTCATTTTGAAGAGAGACAGACCCCTATCTATTTCCTAAATGTCATGTTAAGTTTTAAATAAATATTTTTGGTATTGTGCATGTAACAGCACATTATATTGTCCTATATTCATACATACTAGGGCTGTACAAAGCTTCAGTCGCTGATTCGATTCAGAGGAAATTTGGCCCGATTCGGTGGCCAAATCTCCAAATCCGAATCAAATCAAGAGACCCTTTAATCTCTCCAAATCAAATCAAAACTCTCCAAGTCGATTCAGAGAGATTCAGAAAGATTTGATGGTTTGGCCACATACACAGCTTTAAATTTTTTTTTACATACCCCAAGGTAGCAGGCGGCTCATTAATGCTGAGATGCTGGGGCAAATGGAGCATCCCACAGGAGTGTGGGAAGCTCCCCAACATGCTCGGCAGCAGACCCAGAAGTGGACCAGAAGCACTTCCTGTCTGCTTCTGGGTCCTCTGGGGAGCACACTGGGGACCCCCCCCCCCGCGCCCCACCGGC